GAGTCGAATCAACAAAAAACTATTGTTGGTGTTTCAAAGTAAGCAGTGACAGAGACTATGTGACTGAACCTTTGAGATTTATAGTGATGATGTTTAGGGATTTTCCTAGGCCAAATATATAATTCTTTCTAAGAAGATTTTTTAGACAAAATATAAGATAAATTCAACTGTAAAAAGTCACTTTTTAGTTCAAGGATCTAGACATATAGTTAATCATCCGGTTTATTATACTTGTATTTGTTAACTCAATTAACCCCCGTGTCAACAACAAGTTAATCGAAAGATAAAGGTGGATTGTGAGAATTAAGAACATGGTTTTGATGCCTTTCTAGAAGTTTACAAGAATTGTTTGTACCGAGATTCAACCAGTCTACAAACAAGAAAGTGTTTCTACAAGACATCCAACCATGGTATTAATATTTCATTCTTTAAATGAAGCACAATAATGATGAAGATTGAAGGATAGTCATGAAGATCTAGCTAGGGTACTTGCCTTGAACCAATAAGTCTTTATATGCAAGAGTTATCTGTATTATAGAAAGTACTCACGGTTATACAAAGTACCTTACCTTTGCTAAATGCAATCAATTATTTAGTAAGCAAGTGAAATATAAAGCATTAAGCGTAATCAAATTTAACAGATATAACTTCTGGATTATTTATACATGTCCATTACCTCTTACTAAAGAGTGAATGAGAAACTACACATTCTTCATAGCTTTGGTAAAGTTAGAAAAGTGAGTGATGCTCATCCCTCTAAATAGAAGGGTTACAAGATAAAACACACTACACAAGGAGCCAATCTTCAACAAAGAATGAGTGAATCACGTTCTACCCTTTGCGATTTTGGTAAAGCTCTAGAAAAATAGAAGAGTTTCACTTCTCTAAGGAAAGAAAGAAGCTCAAGCAATGAAAGTGAATGAAACTAATACTGAAAGTAGAAGAAAACTAGTCACTTTTGAAGGATTTCCTCCTCAACCAAAAGATGATCTATCCTCCTCTATGCAAGTAAATATAAACCTAAGTCTAAGACTAATTCTACAATTTTTTTACATAAAATTGTTGCTCAAATGTAAGCCCAATCTCCTCCTTTGAAGATCCCACAATGGGAGTATTTATAGGCAAGGATAAGGGAACAAAAGAGTGTGTAAAAATAGTGTAAGGCATCCAAAGTCCACTGAAAGTCATCCACTCTATAGTCTGTCTGATGACAACGTTTAAACGTTGTCTAGCGTTCAAACGTTGTTCACTGTCTTTGCTTGATGGCGTTCGAACGCTAGATGTAGTTTGAATCTCCTACTCAAGTGGCCCCTATTCTTCTGGGAGAGCTACTACCACACATAATGAACCACTTGACGTTGCCCTCAGAAGCTTGGTCCTCAATAATTCAGGAGAACGTTCAAACGTTTATTGGCGTTTGAATGTGGTACTCAAGTATTTTTGTGTTTTCCTTCTTTGTTGCAACACACCATGCATCTGCACTTAAGCAGTCTAATCCTCAATAATTCAAGAGAACGTTCGAACGTGGATTGACATTCTAACGTTCTTGCCTTGGTCCGAACTTCTCCAATTTTGCTCCAAAATATGCTGGTGTTGCACGAAAGTTTAGTATTCATTGCCCTTGGACCTTTTGTACACTTTATGTCCTACAATGTCATCATTTAAATTTCATCAAAGTATAATTAGTCTTAAAAAGGCATAGTAATATATTAATTTTAACTACTAACCAGTGCCCAGGTAGCCACTAGAAGAACTGACAGCCACCACAAGTCCATGACCTTTTTTCAAATAGGGCATCGACATCTTGGATTTTTTGCCTCTTAACAGAGGGCACTGCAAGTTTGTGGTAGTGGCCATCGACTACTTCACAAAGTAGGCGGAGGCCGAGCCTTAGCAAAGATAACAGATGCAAAGGTAAAATATTTTATCTAGAAAAATCTAGTCTGTCCTGGAGTACCCCACGCCATTGTCAGTGACAAATCCAAGCAATTCAACAATAGACTCTTGAACTTGTTCTATGCCGACCTCCAGATAAAGCAGCCTCATTCCAGTCCAGCGCACTCGCAGGAAAATAGACAGACCGAATCAGAACAGTACTACGTAACCTAAAAATGAGGCTAAAAAGAGCAAAGGGTCTCTGGGTAGACGAACTCCCAGGTGTATTATAAGCCTACCGAACGACGCCAAGGACCCCAACTAGGGAAACTCCTTTCTCACTCATCTTTGGAACTGAAGAAGTCATATCTGTAGAAATTGGAGTATATTCTCTAAGAGTCTAGTACCATGACCCCATCACCAACGAGGAAAGACTCTGCGTCCACCTTGACTTGGTGGAGGAGGAAAGAGAAATGGCCATGGTCCGGAATGCGGAGTATAAACGTCGTATGACAAGATACTATAACTCGAGGGTAAAGCCTCGTTCCTTCCTACCAGGAGACTTAGTTCTCAAAAAAGTAATCCTCGCCATGAAGGATTCGCGAGAAGGGAAGCTTGGACCAAACTAGGAAGGACTTTACCTCATAACAGAAATAGTGAGGCCAGACACCTACAAGATCTAGAATTCCAAAGAAAAAGTCTTACCTCATCCATGGAATGCTGAGTATTTGAAAATGTACTATCAATGACACTTGAGGAGGACAAAAGTAATAAAGCTGGGGGACTTGATTTTATTTCTTCTTGTATTTTTTTGAGTTATTACCCACCATTGCTTAGCATGAGCAGTCATCAATTAAAATTTTCTAAATTTACTTCAAAAGTTCCTTGCATTCTACTTCAAGTGAACAACAGTGATAAAAAAATCACTTTTATAAAAGGAGGCTATACACTGTCTTTGTAAAAAAAAAAAATTAAAGTCCCCAATACTCTAAATGTTCTCATGGCCGTCGTCTTCCTCTTCCTCATCTTTTGCATCGTTAGAGTCACCATTATCACCATCAACATCATCAAGAGTCTCATACGACACAAAACCTAAATATTCAATATCAAGGAAAATAGTATAACCTTTCCCCAAAGCTCCTCATAGCCATCGATAAAGGCATCTGCATACCCTCTCTCTAAATCAGCCTCGGCCTTGGCGACTCTCTCATGAGCCAATCACAAATCCGCCTCAGCTCGGAAAATCCTCTCGCGAGTTGCCTTTAACTCTGTTTTTGCTCTCAAGCGGGTAGCCTCACCATCTACCTCGAGCTTAGCGGCCTTCTTGCGGGTCGCCACAATCTCTGCCTCAAGCTTAGCAGTCTTCTCGTAGCTTGCCACAAGCTCTATTTTGGCCCTCGTGCAAACAACCTCTCTGAGCTCGGCCCTCTCATGGGGTCGCCACAAGCTTAACCTGGGAAGCCTTACCATCAACCTCAAGCTCAGCAATCCTCCCTTGAGCAGCAAGAAGCTTCCTTTTTACATCTTCATGAGCAAGCCTTTCCCCTTTGACAATTGAGTTCAATTGGCTATGCTGGACAGCCCTCGAAAAAAGGCACACAGACGCAACTGAAACTTGAGGAAGATAAATGAATGTTAGTATCCAAGAAAGGGACAAGAGCAAAGGAGAAAACAGACCTTTACCTGGGCCAAACCTTCTAGAACAGTGTTGATGGTGCCCTCAGTGCCCCGAGTACCAACCTGATTGATGTCTCCTGGAAATAAAAATCTCCCAAGTCGCTTCTTGACGATCCGCATATCACCCAACATGGAGCCAGTCTGAGTGGCTACCCCTATAGAAGTCCTCGTAGGATAAGTCGATGAATGAGGGGCAGGAGGTATGGCCGCCTAGGGAGTCTCTGGAGTGGCAGTCACCTCTGAATGAGTCACTAACTGAGAAGGTGCCACAAGAGGCATCATTTGAGAGGGGCTCGCTAGAGCATCATTTACCTTTGCCACTTTAGGAGGAGGAGTACTTCTAGTGGAATAATGGGACTCCACCACTGTCTTATCCACTACAAGAGGGATAAAATTTTATGCTGAGGAGAAACTAAGTAAAGAAAGAGAATCCAAGGAAATCAGCATACATTTTCTCTTTAAAGAGGAACCACCAGACTTCGGAGATGGTACATTAACCCTAGCACTTCCAATAGGAAAATCTCTAGCTCCAACGTCCTTGAGCATGAGAGTCCCAAAGTCTTTCACAGGGTGAGCTTTCATAGCTTGCAATATTCATTTTTGGTCCTTTAACAGCACCGGGGAGCCTGAAAGAAATGTTATGAGTACACATTCCTAAAAAGGCAAAGGAAAAAGAGTAAAGAGAGGGCATACCAATTCTCTTGGGAGTGTCCCACCTTGCTGGTACCAAAGCTCTATCAGCCTCTAAAGCCCACTCTCCTCCAACAAACATAAAGTGAGTCTTCTAGCTATGGCAATTAGAACGCAGTCCAGTAATTAGTTTTCCTCTCCTTTGTGCGAAATAATACTAGTTGCGATTGGGAGCAGGAGTCTTACTCAAAGTGTAGGCCGCACAAAACTCTTCAAAAGTAGCATCCTCATGATGCACCTTTCTCCACAGTGCCAGAAACCCTAGTAAAACTCTCCAACCGTTGGGCACTAACCACCTAGGCACAAATGAAAAATAATGGAGAATACGACAAACAGAAGAAGGCATTGGGAACCTTAGCCCAGCCTCAAGCACCTCCTCATAGATAGCAATGTCTCCAGAGGTGTCATCACAAGCAGGTCCACCCAGTTCAGCTCAACGACACAGTATTGTTGGAAGAATATTATAAGTAGAAATGATCTACAGAATATCAGCATCAGTGTTGAGAGTACTAGAAATAGTACTTATCTTGGATCCGTCGTCATCAAGAGCTACCTTTCCTCGATGTTTGCTAGTGCAAGGATGAAGAGATACATTGCTTGGGTCACCATTAGGTGAACCCCGAGGAACATGACTACGTGGAGTTTCAGCTGAACAAGCCATGCCATCAATCACTTGCCTGGAATAGTTGCCTAAAACACTAACGTTTCCTGGTGAAACTTCTACCGCGACTCTATGCCCAAGCTCTGAAGCTCTGTATTCAGCACCCACAGTGCACAACACCACTTACACGCCCACTTTCCCTACGCTTAGCGACGCCGTTGGCGTGCTCGCTTGGCCATGACCAGTACCTAGCAATGTCACTTGCTGGCTCCACCGCCTGCAACCATTGCCCTGTAGCACCCCTTCTCTATGATCAGCAAGGCCACTGACCCTTAGCGTCTATGGAGCCTCGACTCCTGGCGGGGCAACCTCGCCTCAGGCGCCTAGCTGGGTAGAATAGCCTGTGGCACCCATTTGGGTTGCCTCACCTTCAACGCCTAACTGGGTTACCTCGCCTCCAGCACCCTAGCTCGCCCCCTACACCCGGCCCATGCGTGTTATACTCGGATTGCTCGCTCTTCCACGATCAGCCTCACCAGCACACCATCACTATCCATTGACGCCATGACTTCGGCGCTTGAATCCTCTTTACCCTCGGCACCAGATGTCTGGGTCGCCTCACCTTCGGCACCATCTAGGCCTTCTTGGATATTCTTTTCACCAACACCCATGGCCTTGCCAACGTTCACCTCTCTTGCATCAACATCAACAACTCCATCACTCCTTGACTTCCTGCTGACATTGAAGGCCCATGGCATCTCTTCTCCTTCAATCGACATCGATCTTTGGGCACTTAAATCAGGAGCAAAACCACTAGCCTTACTCTTCTTCTTGAGCATCTCATAAGAAACCCTTAAGACAAATGGATGGAAAAAAAGGAGGAAAGTCTCTATTTATAGCCCAGTAAGTCCTAGTAAGTGATAGAATAGGGAAAAGTTTTCATAGCTCCTAGCAAGATAAACTATATCAAGAACGGGAAAGAGGAGTCATCAATCAAGACGAGTTTTCGTGGGTCAGATTCCAATTTTAAATGCTCTATTTTCCAAGTCTCATTGGACTCGGGGCATTTGGGGGACAAATGATGGGTCAGGCACAAAGTGCCCAGCTCAGTTCATAAGCCCAGTTTGAATAAAGAGCTCAACTAGACGAGATTCAATGGGTTCAGCCCAAAAGAGATCCATGCCTAGTCAGGCTCATTAGGGTTAGAGGAGCTACATCACTAAGGAGTAAGTAGTGTCATCTCAAGAGTCTCATCCATGCCGCCTTATAAAAAGTCAACTACGTCATCCTTTGACCTGATCTTAAGGGGAGCTCCGTAACTGCTTTAGTCGTTGAGAGAATGACGCCAACTCCACAAAATTAGCTACTTAATTACTGAAAAGACGCATCAGTCTATTAAGAGGCACTATAAATTCTAAGTCTCGCCAATACTTGGGGGGCATCGAGAACATCTATGATCATTCTCATCTTTCTCTCATAGCTTGTATCTCCATCACTCTTCCCTGATCTATTTACACTCCTCGAAGTAATAAAACATTAGGTCATCCTAACCCTTCATAGTAGAGTAGGTTATGTTGACCGAACTACTCTACATCTTTGTCTTCCTTGTATTACTCTTTTTCTTCTTAATTATTGTATTAATTATCAGTCACTTGACAGGTGATGCTCAAAATTAATTTGTGCATCATCAAGTTTCGTTGTTGCAATGGTCGATTTTAGAGTTTGAGAGATAAATCGACCCAAACCTTGACACCCTATAACCCTAAATAAAAAAAATACTTAATGGGACGACGGATTTACCGAGCCAGATAAGGTGCATGGCCCCTCACCATTATATGTTGGGTACTTAATCTCACATGATTGAGAGTTCAAACTTTATCATTAACTGAATTTAACACGTCTAAATGTATGGACTGGGACGGCCCAACATAAATAGCGGCCTTAGACGACTAGATTTAAATGCTGTTTATGGTTCTAAATAATTATCAAATTATATCTCTATTTTATTTCTTGAGATGCAGAAATACATTATTTGAATTCAAGGGTTGCGTATGCAAATTTCATTAATCGAAATTGAATTAGAATGTCAAATGTATTTAAGTCTGTTATTGGTTAAAGATATATAAGAGAATTGAAATCTTTTATTTTTTGTAGTAAATTAATTTTGTGAGGTAAGAACATAAGTATTTATGTAGGTAGAATTTTCTACAAAAAATGCAACATTGTTGAATATTACTGGAAAACCCTCATATTTAAACGAGAAAATTTAGCATGACAATTATGGTTTAATTAATTTTTTGATAATGAGCTACTTCTGTTCACTTTGTTTTCTAGTAAAATAAAAAGGGCTTAGAATTTAACCAAGGAAACTATAGATGATTTACTAAACAAATGCTTTTACTTGTAAGACATCAAAAGTATCGTATCGTATGATGAGGTAGTGGTAGGACAGTGCATATTCCGGCGTACCAAATTCACAGTAAGTTCTATATCTGGTCTGATGAATGTAAGATATTGAAGAGCACATATTGATGCTGTACAAAAGTAGATTAATACACAATTGAATCAGTTGAGTATGTGGTGTAGAGTAATTAATAAAACAGTTAATAATAAGAAATAAAGATTTTGTGGTTGGGTCTAGGGATCTAACCACTAAAGGCAGTAACGGTGATCGAAGAACTCTATTAATAAAAAAATATAAAATATTAGGGGAGAGAGAGAGAGAGAGAGTAATAATACATTCAAAATGAGATGTGTGAGATCTGCCCCATGTATAAGGGGTTTATAATTTATAGGTATAGAGTCATAGTTGAGGTGGTGTCGTGAGGTCAAGATACTAGTTTATCGGAGAATATAATTACAATTGGGGATATGTATTATCTTGGTGTCATGACTATCCTGGTAATTACTTTCTCACGTGCATTAACTCTTCATGAACTCTTGAGCTTTAGACTGGACTGATGGTATGAGTTAAATTTGACCTACTTTTTGATGATTTGGGTTCACACATAGACTAGACCAGACTTGGTCTAAATCTGGGCTAATGACCTACAATTTGAGTTGAGTTAACAAGGACAAAACAAGTTTAACAGTGGCTTGTTTTATGATTGGACTGAATGTTTCATCATAATCAAGACAAGTTTTCTTGGTGAAAGCCTTTGGCCCTAATCTTACCTTTTGCGTAGAATTAGAAATGCTACCTACCATCTCAATGATGTTATTATGACGTAGTGGTGGAACTAGGATCCAAGGGCAGCTATAGAGTATGATGTGGCAACATTATTTTATCGTATTAATGTTGAATTAACAAAAATATCCTCAATCAGTATTTGTTACATTGATGACAGTTTTATTTTATCAATTATGAGGTTATAATGGTAAATTTATAAAATAATATGTTTGAGTTGGATTATATATCACATCTTTTTGTGATATTAAAATACTTCCATAATACAGGTTTAACGTATAAAAAATATACGATAAATATACGATTAATATACATTTTTAAAATTAATGCGGTATCAAATTTATTTACCAAACAAAGTATTATGACTGATTAAATAAAAAATAGTATAATTTAATATTTAATTCTTTCATAATGCGTCTAATAAACGAGTCGTATGGAGAGTCAAGCAAGGATAGAATTAAAGGTGATAAGGATGAAGAAGGTACAGGACCAGGTCCAATGAAAATACATTGTGTAGTTTTGGACTGAAATTTATTGGTATTGTAATGAGTTAATAAAGGATAACAGACACTTCTAAAGATTCTTAAGTGTTGATATAGTGTTGATAGAGAGGAGAGGTGTGAAAAAGAAGTTCATTTGGTGACAAAAAAAGAAGTATTTCGACTTGAAAATCTAATCCCTAAAAATTAAAATTTAAAAATTTTAATGTTTAATTGATGATTATGACTTTTTTATATATGATGTATTGATGTTTATAACTTCGTTACTATGTTTTATTGTAATTATTTATGTATTATCAAATTTATTGTGTTTTTTTTAGTGTTATTGATTTATTATGTTAGTTAATTAGTATAAATTACTTAATTAAATTATTAAAATTATCCAAAAATTAATAAGTAAAAAATATGTGTTCACCCAATTTTATAACTAACTTCGTACCCGATTATTTTGGATAGAATTTGAATAGGAATAATATACTTGATCAAGTACGATTGGTTAAGTAAAAATTCTTTCACAAAATATCAGGTAAGAAAATGTTTTATAATTTTTACTCATAGGATAGGGTGAACATGCCTAATTGAATCAAGTCAAATTGACACAAGATTGGAGATATTCGAAATTAGAAAAATATGAGAACGAGTAAAAGAATTTGTAGTTGAAATTGAGGTCGATGGAGTAAAAGATGAAGAGTTTGCTAAAATTGCAGACGGCGCCATTGGTATGGAATTTCTCCGTGGCCACCCCCAGCTGCGGAGCCGGGATTTCACTTGAGAGGAGGCAAATTATAATTAGAAAATTTTTTATTCAAGATTAAATTATTAAATAAAATATAAAACCGATATATAATTCTACTCAGTCATATGAAAGTGAGACACAATATTCTTTTAAAACTCAAAAATATCTACGCATGATTAATTTTATGTTAAAAAATTAAAAATTAGAAAATTTTTGAGAGAGAAATTAAAAATTAGAAAATTTTATCAACCCACAATTATTTTGAGAATTGTAGTGNGGGTTCGGACATATTATCATTTGCATCTAACCTCTAAATTACCAAAAAAGGCGATGGTTGGCTATACAAATATACGAAAATCAATAAACTCAAGGGTCATATAAAAAAAGTAATATTTTAATACTATACCTCTTATTCTCTCTCTCAAATTAAAATAAGACTAAGTGTGGAATTATTATTATTATTTTTACAATAAACTGGTTACAAATAAATCACCATAAAATCTGTGATTGCGAAAAAAGTTTCGGACAATATCACGTGTATACCCTAACTATCATAAACTCAATAATGCTTTAGAACTCGATGCAAAAAAAAAAAAAGAACGCGACGTGCATTGAAGTGATGTTTCTTCAACTAAAAAGACACACAATAAAAATTAATAACGGGTCTTTGGTCAAATGATATTTTTTACTTTATAAAAATTTTGTCTTCTTGAAGTCAAGGGTTCAAGTCCTCTCTCTCCTCTCCGTTCCCAAAAAATAAAAAAAAATAAAAAAACAATAATAATGAATTACTTGAAAATGATTTGGTGGGAGTGAAATTTCTTTTAATATATTTTTTCTTGGGTGAATAATTTATTTAAATAAATCTCTTATTGATTAATGATAAAGACGATATATAAATTCAAAAATCTTGAGTTTGAATTTTGACAACTTCTTAAAATTATGTCATGAGGAATTTATCCTTCAAAAATATCATAGTACCGAGTTGGATGATTTGTCTTTGATCAAACTGGAAAAGAGATTAATCAACGTATACATAAGTTTGCTTGGACATCCCTAAAAAAAAAAAAAAAAAAAAAAAAATGGGCATGAGTTTTGCCACAAAAACGACATTTTATTAGGTAAATTACATCCACACATCTATAGTTATATTTGTACGGATATTGCTCATATTTTCCAACCCTGAAAATTGATATAATATCAGGACTGTCCGCTCAGTTTTTTTCTAAAATATCACTCTTGTTATTTTTAGTTCAAATATCAATTTCGCTTGATTCCTTTGCCATAAAAAATGTTAACCACAAGATTAAAAACCGATCACTTCCAATGGAGGCATTTCTTCTCCTCCTCTACTTCTCTTTCCCTCACCATGCAATATGGTCATTGGGACACACATAAAACTGTCATCTTCCACTATAACATTCTGAACCAGCAAGTCACAAAGACATTGCCATAGGCACAGTCTCTCTCTCTCTCTCTCTCTCTCTCTCTCTCTCTCTCTTTCATATTTTGTATATTTTTTGGATACCTTCAATTGGGTCCATCTTAATGACTTAAAAAAATAAAGGATAATTGGCTTCTTACGTTTGGAAACTGCCTTCTTCAATGTGATATATAAACCAGCATTCAACGTAATAATAAAGGTTTTTTGGTCAAAAGATAAGAATGCAACTTAACACCAAATAAAGATAAGACTGCGACTTAACACCAAATATGTTTAATCCATGTGCTTAAATCATTATAAAATTTTTAAATAGGATTGGCCCCAATTTTTTAGATTTTAATTACTTTACTTGTAAAAAACAGCATATAAACATGACTACAACAGCTCTTAAACCATGTTATAGACGAGAGTATTGCACATTGCATACAACTTGTTTTTTTAACGTAGAGGACAGGGATAAATAAGGGAAGTGTGAGCAACTAAAGTTTCTTGAACTGCAAGTTTCTATGATTTTGCTGATAAAGGAGAGTGGACCGCAGCTTTGAAAATCATCTCAAAAGCATTTTCAANTTCTTGAACTGCAAGTTTCTATGATTTTGCTGATAAAGGAGAGTGGACCGCAGCTTTGAAAATCATCTCAAAAGCATTTTCAATGCATGACTTGAACAAATGTGGATCTATGAAGCCTTTCTCCACTACCACGGCAATCCTCAGCTTTCCCACATAACTCATCACTGTTATTTCAAGACTCTGCAATTCCATAAACACCACGTCACTAAAGCTAATAGTAGTCACAAAACCATTAAAAAAAAGGAGGAGGAGGAGGAGGTATTTCTTAATATAATTGTGAAATAGTTATCATGGAGAACTTATATGAGTAACCACCTGCATAAATTATAATTTGATCCCCTCAATAANGTATTTCTTAATATAATTGTGAAATAGTTATCCTGGAGAACTTATATGAGTAACCACCTGCATAAATTATAATTTGATCCCCTCAATAATGCCTTTATCTCATACTGCACATTCAACTATCCTGTTTTCCTCATTGCACCAACCCCCATGAACTAGGTTTTTTTTTTTCTGCTTTGCCCAAACAGATAATTAGGCATGAACATTTTTGGTCAAAACATGAAGAATTTTTGGTTTTAAATAGTTACACCACCTTTGTGCACCATCTCACTTACACCACCTAATATGACACAGTCAGAATCATTAAATATTTAATAAATTTTGTGGAACCTACTAATCTAATGGTCCATGTTGAGGTGGTGCACAAAGGTGGTGTGTAGTATTGTAGCAACGAATATAGCTGACCTGAGTTAAATAATGTGGCAAAGTCAAAAGTTCGTTTGAAAAGTTGGGTCCAAGTATTGTCTTTTTTAATAATGGAGAAGTGTCATAATCTTCCCATGTTTCTACATAAACTTCGGACGTACATAGTCATTCACAAACCATGCACATTAGATCAACTAAATTAAAACTTTTTTTTATGAGAGCTCGAGCTATTGGACATTGAACCTCTGTCGTCCAAACTACACGGGTTTACGGCACCTATTAACAAGTTGAACTAACATGACAAGTGTGGCTCAAACTTACCAGCTTCCAGACTGCAGCATTAATGGCTGATATGTTAAACAAAAGCTAATGAAACATATGTACCTGTGGAGCACCAACCACAGCAAAGTAAATTCCTTTAACTGGATGATTTGCCAGAGCCAATTGTTCCACAGGTCCAATCAAATTTGAGATAGCCATGCTTGAGTTCTTCAGTGTTGTATGGATGTAACGAGCCGTTGCCTGTACTGAATATTTTTTAATGGTACTCTAAATTCTAAAGCAACCTTTCTTGAAAAAATAAAATAAATCTAAAAACAACTCTGCTAGAGCTTAGATGTAATATATTAGAGCTTGCTGCATATCAATATATTTGAGTTTTATGAATAGCTTCTTCACCTGTTGTCAATGGGTTTTAGATCGGATGTTTTAGTAATGATATCGGAACTAGGTTCTGGAGATTTTCGGACGTGACTCTATTCCACTATATATAATTGATTTCTCCTTCGTTTGTGTAATTAGTGCATCTTATTTTAATATGATCTTATGAGAAAGTATTAGAATTTGTCCCCCATCAATATAATACTTATTGGGCCTACCTTTAGATAATAATAATTTGTAAACTCGTGTATGAGTCTTGTGAGTCTCTCTAATTATTACCAATTAATTTTAAGTCGAATGTTTTAACATGGTATCAGAGTAAAGCTACAAGATATTTTTATATTAATTTCATAGTAATTAATGNTAGTTTGTGTAATTAGTGCATCTTATTTTAATATGATCTTATGAGAAAGTATTAGAATTTGTCCCACATCGATATAATACTTATTGGGCCTACCTTTAGATAATAATAATTTGTAAACTCGTGTATGAGTCTTGTGTGTCTCTCTAATTATTACCAATTAATTTTAAGTCAAATGTTTTAATATGGTATCAGAGTAAAGCTACAAGATATTTTTATATTAATTTCATAGTAATTAATGAGCACCCCTTTGTTCATGCCATAAACATATTATATCCTTCCTTCGGGGGAGTATTAGAGCCTATCTTAGGTCGATATATATATACTAATTCTTACGTCGTCCATTGTCAGTTGGTTTTAAATGGGCAAATCATACTTAAACCCATAGGATTATTCTCCTTATTTTACACTGCCCCCTAAACTACCAACTTTTTTATATTACACCTTAAACTATGGATTTCAGTTTCACATTGCTGAATCATTGACTTTTGTCTAATTTTTTACAGTAACTTGGGACAAAAATGGGATTTCACAGTGTCATGAGCTGCGCTATTTTCCCACTCAACCGGACCAAATTCAGTTTTTGCCCATTCTTGAAAAATTGGATAGAAGTCAACGAGTGGAGCATTGTGAAATTAAAATCAATAGTTGAAAGTGCAATGCAAATACAGTGAATAGTGTAGCGACAAAGTAATAAAAACGAGGGGTATAGTTAAGGGGATGTAAGTATAATTTACACATTTCAAATCTAACATCTTTTTTTGTTGGCTTCAACAGTTAGTGTGTCCGATTCAACATATATGCATCTTGACTAATCACCTCTCTGATCCAGTCAAAGACGGTCATTCATGCCTAAACTAGGGTATTCATGAGGGAATCCCTCGATAACTTGATCCCAACGATTTGTAAAGATTTGAATTCATGAGGTTTGTATTTACAACTCGTCCCTATTATCACTTGAATTACTCTTGAGGTTGAATATAACATTTTTAGCATTATATGTACATTAGAAAAAGATATAAACGTACCTCAGGACCTCTAACTTTTCTCAAAGTTTCAAGCAGCCTACTAGTGAGATAAATAGCTGCAGAGTTTCTCTTCCTCTTGATACTCCTGTGAGCTTTAAAGATAAAACTGAGTGGATTTGAAGTCTTAGCAGGTGTCAGCTTTGGTATTGGAAAGTGCAAGAATGCAAAATGATTCCCCCATGGCATTTCAGCATTAGGTTTCACCATCTCACTCACTGATTTATAACCACCAATGGCCCTGGTGCTAAGCAAAACCAGTGCAGTAGAGTCTGCATTCGTCGATCCATTGCTCGCTCCTTGCATGTATAACCGAGTTCCGTACGTGATTATTCCGGTGATAACGTCATTTATTGTCTGCAAAAATTAATAATTAAAAAAAATGATGGTTAAACATAACTAGGTAACGTTTGGTAACATTTTATTTAAGAATTTTTTTGGCAAAAAAAATAATTTATTTATAAAAACAAAAATATATTTAGTTATTTTCGAATAAAAGTGACCTATATATGAATCCTAATCTATAAATAATCCACTTTATATCTATGTCGAAATAGTCTCACCGCTTCACCGATCAAAGAATGCGTCGGAGCGAGTGCAGTGAGGTGATCTTTATGTTGAATTTGGAACACATGGCTCCTTATCGAGAATCGGTGGAACATGTCCCATATCCTCCTAATACCAAATCCCTAACATTTTCTGGTTTAATGCCGTAGATGACGCAGAGCTCTCTTAGATGTTTCCACTCTTGCCCCGCAAGCCAAGAGGTTTCAAAATACTAGGCGACCAAATGAAAGTTAACAGTTCCGACCAACTCTTCTAGAGAATTCTTTGTGACAAGGGAAATGGGCCTTTTCATGTCTCCATCATTTGGACAATTCTTTCTTTCCTATGACGTGAGGTGACTAAGGTGATTGTTGAAGCAATTTCTTGTGTGCCATGAAAGGTTTTTTGGGTCAAGAGATGCTCCATTGAAATAGGATTCAGTTGGAAGTTTTGGCTCAAGGCTTTTACTTCTCTCGGAATTCTATCTCGAAAAGCTACACTCCTAATGTATTTTGTCAAAGGCCAGGCCTCATATGTACATTTTATGGTTTCTTTATACAATCTTTACCTTCTAGAAAATAAATAAATAAATAACTCTTCTAGAGAGCATACCCTTTGTTTCTACTATATATTTCTCTCTTCTAATATATTACAGTTATGAAGTTGAATTCTCAACTTATAAAAGTACAACAACGATGAAGATTAATTCAATTTTCATCTACTTTGATCTAATGATATAAAATTTATTCCAAATTTTTGTTTCCAGCTCAAAAATATTATTTTTTTTTTATCCGACCCCAACCTACTCCACTATTCTACCCTACCTCTCTCTCTCTTTTTTTTCTCTATTCACTTTACAATTAAAATATGTAATTAAAAAATAATAGTATAGCTATTTTTTAAAATATAAAAATGAAACACAAACTGTACTTAAAAAAATGTTTAAGAAACAAAAAGAAAACTTGAAAAAGTTATCAAATGGTGTCTAATGTTTGTATTTTTCTAAAAAAAAAAATTAGGGATGTAAAAACTTAAAAAATAGTATAGTATGAGAAAATTTCAATCGCCAAAGCTATGAAAAATAATCATTATAGTCTAGAATAGATATGGGTAGGACTTGGATACTAAGAAAGAGTTGACCAATACTTAGCTTAGGTACTTGACCTTGGAAAGAAGGGGAAGAGCGCAAATAAGAAAGAGTCTCAAATTGAGAATCAAATCAAAAAATAAAAAAACAATTTCTTAGTGATGGTCAAAGTTTTCATGTTTTACCACAAAACATTAAGATTGTAACACTGAATAGAAAAATTGGAGTTATACCACTTTAAGCTTAGTCTTGATTTCTTTGATGTGATCAAGAGGAAATGTTACGGTAGTAATAGTTATTGGCCGGAACTCCACTCCATCATCACCGGATCGGATAGGTGTCCGGTCATCTCTGATCGCACTACTCCTCAGAAGGCTCGATCCGAAATCTAATACAGTGTTGATCGTCCCCGAGAAAATTCGAGGCAGAAACTTGAGAAAGCTGCAACCAGCATGATCACCCTTTGATTTCAAGTTTCGTTGACGTGAAGGGAATGTTGGAAGAAGAGAGGGATCGTCAGCCCTTTGTAGACAAGAAAGAAGAGCTCCCATTAGAGAATAACCATCGCCAAGGGCGTGGTGAAGCTTGAATACTACACTCCCAGCCGCATTGCTTGTTGGATACTTGATTATATGAACTTCCCACAATGGTTGATCTCGTGGAAGTTGATTCATGGCTATCGTTGATAGATAGTCATTGAAGTAGTCATCGTATATATCTAGAGTCGTTCCATTGGGGAAAACGGGAGCTTGTACGTGGTCTTGGAGCTTTACTTCAACCTGCTTCCATTTTTGTACTCCTTTTTTATCTGTAACCTGTTCTTATATGGTTAGTTATCAGTACGATTTGATATGATAGTACTTAATGAAGAAGAAGGAGAGACAGATAGAGAGAGAGGTACCATGACTGAGGAAAATCGGGGGTTGATGGGCAAGAATACATCCTTCAGTAGTGACATGGTTTGAGAGTCATCAATTGGAACTTCAAACTCCAGAACAACAAGGTTAGTGAGCGACAGCGCCGAGCTCTTTAGGTATTGTGCACTAGGACTCACAGGCTCTAATACTTCTTCTTCTTCAAACTCCATGATCACTATCCTTAAGGTTTCATGAGCCACTATATTATTAGAGTTAAGGCATATATGTTTATATATAGGGTGTTCTTTATTAATCAAACTGGTGCCTAATTACCACAATGAAAAGTCTTAATTTTAAAGTTCCTTTAACATGGTTAAAATTCTCTTTCATCATGCAACAATAAGTACGTTTCCTTGATTTTTCTCAATATTCATTTTGAATGACTTTCATAAATGTGCTTGAACATCAATCAACAACAGATGGTTGGTTACCCTTAAATTTGATTGCAAGTCGACATGGACAGCTCCCTTCATAATAATTCAGTTCAAGAGTTCAATCCTAGCTGATATTTTTTAGAGAAAATTACATTTGGACTTCTTCAACTCATGTGATACTAGATTCAATTTGTCTCCTCAACTATCAAGGTTCTCACATTGTCTCAAAATTAAACAATTTTCATGTTTTGGACAAAAAATGTCTATGTGGAGTAAAATATACATTTTTAACGTCTAAAATTAGAGTAATGTAAAACCAATAATCATATTAATATTAAATGTATAATGTGAGAAATTTGACATCTTAACACAAAGCCGGTCGGTATTAACTCGTGTTATAAAATTGAGTGCTATAACTTAACCCAAATATTATTTCAATTCGTTATTGAGTTAATTTAATCTAATCCCACAACTAATACCCAAAGCAAGCCTTAAATGTATTTTAAAAAAGAAAGAAAAAATGATGGTTTTTCCGATTCGATTTATGCAATTTTACCCTAGTAGAGACAATTCCGTTTCAAACTCTCGGCGTTATTTACTAAAACAACTTTACGGATGTGTCAAGATCAAACCTCTAGGCGTTAAACGTTTCGCATCTATTGAAAATTATTGTGCGGAATCAATCAAAGACCATGTCATTTATGAGGGATGCCAAATGATTTTAATATCCTTTTGAAGCTACAAATGGTCGTAATGTCTCCACCCATTCCTCACTACGTGGTTACTGCTCCTTCTTCCTTTCTTGTTATAGAGATGGTTGTACTATTGAAAAGCTGGAGCAATGTGGTCCTCCAATGGTGATAAGCATGAATTATGTGAAATTGGGTGCATGGCCACGGGGTGATTCAGTGGTGGAACAAGAAGCAAAATAACATTTATATTNCCGATTCGATTTATGCAATTTTACCCTAGTAGAGACAATTCCCGTTTCAAACTCTCGGCGTTATTTACTAAAACAGCTTTACGGATGTGTCAAGATCAAACCTCTAGGCATTAAACGTTTCGCATCTATTGAAAATTATTGTGCGGAATCAATCAAAGACCATGTCATTTATGAGGGATGCCAAATGATTTTAATATCCTTTTGAAGCTACAAATGGTCGTAATGTCTCCACCCATTCCTCACTACGTGGTTACTGCTCCTTCTTCCTTTCTTGTTATAGAGATGGTTGTACTATTGAAAAGCTGGAGCAATGTGGTCCTCCAATGGTGATAAGCATGAATTATGTGAAATTGGGTGCATGGCCACGGGGTGATTCAGTGGTGGAACAAGAAGCAAAATAACATTTATATTTTAAGTTCGTGTCTCTTTAACCTTATAAAAATACAAGTTTGCTTGATGTTTGTAGTTTACGAGTGATTACATACATTTAAAATTTGAGTTATAAGTATGAGATTAAAGGAGTCCTAATTATAATCATTTCTAAGTTATCCCAAAAGAAAAAAAAACCTTCCTTTAAGTTCATCTCCTACTTATATCTAGGGAGATTAGGTTTGGAGTTCATCTCTTCCTTTCTCATTCTTTGCATAACCACTATTTTAAAATCTTACTTGTTTGACTAACTTATCTACATTCTCCATTTCTCTCTCACTTCAATTATTTCGTTGTTTCACATGTGACAAAAAAACTATTACTTTAAGGATCTTGACTCAAATTTTATTTAAATTTAAGTTAACATTTGAGTAAAAAAATTAAATTTGATACAAAACAAGTCAATAGATAAACTTAAATGTAAAAGATAATGAAATNCATACATTTAAAATTTGAGTTATAAGTATGAGATTAAAGGAGTCCTAATTATAATCATTTCTAAGTTATCCCAAAAGAAAAAAAAAGCTTCCTTGAAGTTCATCTCCTACTTATATCTAGGGAGATTAGGTTTGGAGTTCATCTCTTCCTTTCTCATTCTTTGCATAGCCACTATTTTAAAATCTTACTTGTTTGACTAACTTATCTACATTCTCCATTTCTCTCTCACTTCAATTATTTCGTTGTTTCACATGTGACAAAAAAACTATTACTTTAAGGATCTTGACTCAAATTTTATTTAAATTTAAGTTAACATTTGAGTAAAAAAATTAAATTTGATACAAAACAAGTCAATAGATAAACTTAAATGTAAAAGATAATGAAATATGACTATTAGATATTTAAACGAAGATAAAATTTGATCATTGAAGATTTAAGTAAATATTTGAATCTCTCTGTTTTTGGTAGGAGTAGGGCTGTCAAAATTTGACACGACACAATTAACCGACACGAATTAAATGGGTTTGGGTGAGATCTTAACGAGTTTGGGTGATAAACGGGTTAACACGTTAAACACGTTTAATAAACGGGTCGTATTCGGGTGAGACCTGTCAAACCGTTTATCACACGTTTACCCATTTAAATAAAATTAATATAATAATAAATTAATAATTGTTTTAAAAAATTAGCAAGAAAAAAGATGCAAAAAAANGGGTAATAAACGGGTTAACACGTTAAACACGTTTAATAAATGGGTCGTATTCGGGTGAGACCTGTCAAACCGTTTATCACACGTTTACCCATTTAAATAAAATTAATATAATAATAAATTAATAATTGTTTTAAAAAATTAGCAAGAAAAAAGATGCAAAAAAAATAAATAAAAAAAAAAAGTAAAGTAGTAGTTCAAAAACAAAGAAGAAGAGTTGAAGAGCACTTCAAAGGCAAAGGCAAACAAATGTCTTTTATTTTTGTCCCACATTGAAAAATGAGGAGAGATGGGAAGGGTTGAGTTGTCTATAAAAGACAATGACCTNGTAAAAAAATCAATAAAAAAAAAAGTAAAGTAGTAGTTCAAAAACAAAGAAGAAGAGTTGAAGAGCACTTCAAAGGCAAAAGCAAACAAATGTCTTTTATTTTTGTCCCACATTGAAAAATGAGGAGAGATGGGAAGGGTTGAGTTGTCTATAAAAGACAATGACCTCTTGCTTTGATTTTTAAAGCTTTCAAGTCTTATTTTTCAAAGACAAATGAGAGGAGTTGTAGAGCACTTCAAAGATAAAGGCAAACCAATGTCTTTTGTTTTTGTCCCACATTGAAAAATGAGGGGGAGATGGGGAGGGTGAGTTACCTATAAAAGGCAATAGCCTCTTGTTTTTTTTTTTTTAAAGCTTTCNTTTTGTTTTGATTTTTAAAACTTTCAAGTCTTATTTTTCAAAGACAAATGGGAGGAGTTGTAGAGCACTTCAAAGATAAAGGCAAACCAATGTCTTTTGTTTTTGTCCCACATTGAAAAATGAGGGGGAGATGGGGAGGGTGAGTTACCTATAAAAGGCAATAGCCTCTTGTTTTTTTTTTTTTAAAGCTTTCAAGTCTTATTTTTTTGAGATTTGATTTAAAATTTCTCTTTTTTGAGGTAAGTGTAATTAGTAGTAAAAAAAATAGAGTGATATAATTTTTTTAAAATTAAACGAGTTGAACGAGTAATGTCGTGTTACCCGTTTATTAAACGGGTCGTGTTTATGTTGAAATTTTTTACTTATTTATTAAACATGTCGTGTATGAGTTTATACGTTTTTCACCCGACACGTAACCGTTTAACCCGACACGATTGACACCCCTAGATATGAGTTTGAATAAAAGATTGAAACATATTTTTATGCTATTTTTACTCAAATTTANATCTGAAACAAAATCATTATCATCCTTCATGACTAGTTGTATCATGATTATTCCAAAACAAATGCACCAATTCTAAAAAATTATATTGATCTTTTTGGTTTCATTGTTATCTCTCTTTTTTTTTATCAAGAATTAGTGTTTCAATTACAATAGTTTTGTAGATAGTAAGTATAAAGTGATTAGTGTTACACATTCAAATATTCCCTTAAAAGGTAAAGGAAAGTTGTTATAAACCGAAGAAACAAAAAATGTTGTGTATAAACGGATTACTTCTTAATTTTGGAGTACAAGNCGCTCGTGATTTCAAGACAAGGTTAGTTAAATAGATGATTTCTTATGCTTGTATTTTTAAACACCTTGAGATGAGGTAAAGTTGATCATCAAACAGGAAATTGGAAGAATTACCATGCATAATCTCCGAATACACATGGAGTTGACCTTTGCCTCATCAATTTAGGGCAACCTGTCCAATTTTGCCTTGAACAAGCTTATTGTCTATTTTTTACATACTATGTACATGATGTAGCTTCAACAATTTACCTTGCTCTTTTCTTATTAAAATCTTATGAAACATTAAGCATTGAACAAGTCTTTCATACAATTTTAAGCTGGCATTTTTTGTAATTTCTACATTATTCTCAAGTTTGTTTGCAAAGTTCATTCATCTGTTTAGTTACAAGTTTTGCGGAAAAAAAATATAATTACAAACTATATAATATGCCTAGTAGGTATCTAGTACAAAGTTATTTTCAATTGCCTTTGTGATCTTTGTAGCTGCATATACATTTTTGGATTATGAATCAAAAAAAATTCAAGAGAGCAATTTTATAAAATTACGAAAAATTTCCAAAATCAAATAGAAATTGGACGTCCGTGGTACCCTCCAAAAGTTGTGGCCAAGAAGTATGCAAGGGAAACAAACAATCAGGGCGACCTATGTCTAGATAACTCATTTTTATCCAGCATGACACAACTTGGTTTAGGAACCATTCATATGTAATTTTTATCTAGGAGATTGTCTAGAAACGATAGTTGGTATGCATGTCTGTCACTGAAAAATTACTACATAGCCTTAAACTATACT